CGGCCCGGGGAGAAGCCCGCCCGGAGCGCCGAGTCCTGGGGGGGCGGGGAGTGTGAGGAGCTGCGGAGGGGGCGGGGCCTTTGTGGGGAAGGGGGTGGGGCCAAGCCGGAGAGCGACTGAGGAAACGAGAGCCAGAACGGGGCGTTACTAAGCGTGGCCTGGGCCGGAATTTTACTCCCAGAGACCGGGGCGTGGCCTCGCCGTTTCGCGGGGGCGTGGCCGGAAGGGGCGTTGAAGGCAGGCTGAGTTTCCGGTGGAGGCTCCGAGGTAGGGGAGTAGGGTAGGGGGTCGTGGAGGGCGTCCTCTGAACACCTGGACCAGATGCAGCCTGGCAGCCGGACTCGGCCCAGCTGACCGCCAGGTTCAGGAGTTAGGGTATATAGGGCACCCTTGTCCCCACGGGTGTCCGTTCTTCGTTAGTGAGCTTCACAGAACGCGCTCCAAGATGTGCAGAGTCCAGACGAGTTTGGCCGCTGGGTGGCACGCGGTGCCCCCAGTCTGCTACCCCTAGGCTTCATCAGACGCACCCCAACCACAGGCCTTCCAGAACTCTTCTCTTTCCCCTAGTCTTAATCAGACCCCCAAATCCTTACCCCATTCCTGGCCTCTGTGATCACTGCCTGTCGTGGTCCTGCACCCCTCGAGGACCAGATGGCCCCAGCCTTGCTCACAGCACTTGAACATGGAATGGCACATGCCAGCCACCATACTTTACAGTGTGACTTTAAGCAGGTTGCGAGCCTATTTGGGCCATAGTTTCAGTCCTTATTTGGGCACACAAGAGAAGACCCCGCTCTCTTCGTAGGTTTTAGTTCAGCTCTGCCAGTTGGCTGGTATTACCACCTTTACTATCACTGGGTTTGTAGGAATGTGGAAGCCATTGGGCAGAGCTTTGTGATGAATACAGAGCTGGTTTGGAGATTCAGGTCTACGAGTTATGGAAGACAGAAGTGTTCTAACCACTCATGCCAAATAGTTTAATGCTGAGGAGAAGGGAGAGGTAAAACTGGGTTTGGAAGAGTCATACCCAAGGCAGGAGGGGACGGACTCCTAGTTGTAGGGGTGGCAGGTTGGAGGCCTGGTTCCAATCCTGGGACTATTTTGCTGTGGCTGGGCAGGTAGCCTTCCTCTGAGGGCTTCCAACTGCTCTCCTTTCTTTGGGAGAAGGAGTCTGCAAGAGGAGGGGTTGGGAGGGTACAGAGGCTGGTTCACGGGGTAAGGGTCCAGAGTAGGAGGGCTTCCACAGGGCTTCTGCCATCACTGGGAGTCCTGTCCAGGCTCCAGGCACATCGTGGTAGAGGACGGGAGCCCCAGCCCAGTTGGGAGGGTGAGGCCTCCCTGATTCCCATCAGCCCGGATGTTGGGAATAGAGTATGGTGCTGGTCGGGTTCTTGGGATCCCAAGGTGGACTGGAACTCCAGGGTATGGGGCCTGGTAAGCAAGGGGCCTGTAGGTGGTTGGGGCTAGCAGGGCCTCAGTGGGAGGCAGCAGCTGTTGGTGGAGGCAGGCAGGGGTCCTGGAGGTGGTGGCTGAAGTTTTGTTGAGGTCTGAGGAAGGAAATGGTCTCAGCTCATATCCTCAGCCCTCATCCCAGACTTGCTCTGTCCCCTCTCCTGGTTCTGAGTTGCCTGTCTTGGCCTAGCTTTGCCTTGGTCCTTGATTTCTTCTCTACCTAGAATTTCTTCCCCAACTCCCTTCCAAATTCTTCCCAGTCTCCCAAGGCCCAGCTGGGGAAGCACCTCCTCCAGGCAGCTCACCTGGCACCCTCCACTTTGCTCTCAGCAGCTCATCCCTGCCTTGTTCTCTCTTCTCTGGGCCTCATATTGCCTTAGGAATCTGTGCCTCCCATTTGTGCCAGTGGGCTTGCTGAGTGTGCTGAACCCCTTCCTGACTTTCTGGGGGCCTTGTGGCTCTACCCACTACGGGCTGGGGCCTTTACCTTTGTCCTGCTCTTTGGGGCCCTTCAGCAGGCAGGGACTGAGGCTGTTGTGACTTTGGGTTGGGATGTGGAGCAAGGGCCGTGGGGCCACAGGCCTGAAGGTAGGACAATCAGAAAGGGGGACAGAGAGTTAAGAATTGAAGAGAATTCAGCCCAGGAGTAATGATCAGATTTAGATGGTGGGACCCCGGCACAAGTCAGACGGTGTGATCCTACAACCAGGTGAGGGGTTGAGGCCTTAAGAAATGTCTGGGGTAGGGATGAGAGGCAGCTAAGTGGAACATCAAGAGCCAGACAGTACCAGGAGTCCAGGTCACTCTCTCTGAAGCCCTTGGCAAAAGGGTTGCTGGCGATTTTCAGCTGGGTGATCTATAGAGAGAAAGTGCAGTTATAGGCTGTTCCTGAGCCAGTGAAGGGTCGTGGGGCCCAGAGTCAGGCACTCTAACCACCGGGAACCCAGATCCCTTGGCCTGGGAACTTGGGAGCCAGTGGATGGTAAGGCAGAGGGATACCTGGGGCCGATGCCCAGGGAGACAGGAAAGGCGAGTGTCTGTGGTGTGTGGAAGCAAAAACCCTCAGGCCTCGGTCTCCACCCTTGTGAAATTGCCTGACAGCTAGGGCCTCCTGAGCCCGGGCCAAACCTACCCGGTGGTTCTGATAGGCTGTCACAGCTGTGAACTGGGTCTCCGCGAAGATGAAGGACTTGAAGTTCTCCTGGGCATAGCGCTCACTATCCTTGCGTGGGTCGACGAAGACCACATGAAAACGGGGCTGGTAGCGGTGCATTGAGTTGAGAATGATCTGCGAGAGGGTCAGAGTGGTGTGCAGGGGGTGGGGCCACAGCAAACCCTCCTGAACGAGAGTCTGAGCCCCTTTGTGTTCAGCAGCCTTGCCTGTTGTCACCCATGGTCCACCTCTCAGCTTTACCTCCAGAGCCGTCCAGAATCTCACGACCCCTCCCACCACTGTCTCCATACCAGCCAGCCACCGTCATCTTTACCAAGTTCCTCAGTTTCTCTGCCTCCACTTTGCCCATCTGCCCACACAGCCCCAGCAAAGCACATCATAAAGCTCCCCTGGTCTACACCCACCCTACAGAGAAGAAAAGCCCATCCTCTCCAGGGCCCTGCACAATCAGCCCTGGGTGTAGCTCTCTCCTGCTTTTCCTTCTTGCTCCACTGCAGACACATAAGCAGCCTCCTTATAGTTCCTCCAACCCACCCTATAGTCGCTGGGCTCAAAGCCTTTGCACTTTGCTGCCCCCTGTGCCTAAGCAGCTCCCCCTCTCATATATATAGATTCCCTCTCTTCCTTACTTCCTTAGGTCTCCATTCAAATATTGCCTTATCTGCCTGTCTCTGTCCTGTCCCAGGGCTCCTGTTTCTCTTTATCATTTGTCACTGTCTGTGACTGCATTTAGTGTCTGCTGGGCTTCTGGCTTACCATCTGCCTGGACCCAGCTGTGAACCTGGCAAGGAATCTATCTGATAAAGTGTCACTGGTGCTGTGTTCTGGCACCTACAAGCCTGGCCTATGCCAGGCCCTCCATACAGTGTTCTCCCTCTGCCCTGAGAAAGTTCCCCCAGCCCTAGCCCACTTCCCACCTGCCTGGACAGTTCTGTGTGCCATCCAGCCCCCAGCCAAGTGAGCCTGACTTCAGCAGCAGGCAAGGGTATTGGATGCCATGGCCACTGGGCACTACCAAAGGCCAGGCCAGCACCGGCACTGGGCTTTATCACCCTCACAGCCCGGGACCTCCACCCTCTGCCCAGCTCAGCTCCTCCCATCGCAGCCCAGGCCTCACATGGCCGTTGTCATCCAGGAGGTTGTTGGTCAGCTTGAGCTTGTCAAAAGACACGATCTGGCGCATCCATTGGGCACCCTTGGCCGGTGAGTCGGGGTGAAAGTGCACACGGCCGGGCGTGGCTGGGTCAGCCTTGCCTGCCACCAGCCAGGCCGAGCTGTGGAAGGCATACCTGGGAGCAGAGGGAGGTGCTGAGGGCTGCACCCACCCATGCCAAGCCCCACTGCTACTGGGCCCTACCACTACCCACCTGGCCTGGAGGGCATCTTGCAGATGAGGAGCCAAGCCTCAGAGAATACTGCCAGCCCTGAGTTCCCTGTGGCATACCTGGCTGGCAGAAGTCACGATAATCCCTGCTGTCCTGGGCTAGACCCCTCTGCCTATCCCAGGCTAGCCCATTACCCCAAGATGGGCTTTCCTCTTTCCAGTAGGCGGTTGCCCTATGGATCTAATTCTTGTTCTCAGGGCCCCAGATCTGTACCCACTACCCCAGCAGGCCCAGACCTGTATCTCTTGTCATCCAGTGGGATGAAGTCCATGAGCAGGGCATAGTCAGCCAGTGTGTCCATGCCCAGAATCTTCACCTGGAAGGTGGGAAACATTCTCCTGCAGGAAGGAGGCACTCAGTAGCCCGAATGAGGCCCCAGCCCTGGTCTCCTGCCCTGCTCCATTGCCCATGGACATACCTGCCTGCCTTGGTGACAATCATCTCGGTGCCCAGCTGGTTGAATTCTTCCCACAGAGGCTTCATCTCCAGCTGAACTGTCACACTGGACACACATGGGTTTTTGGGGCTCTGGCCAGGGGGCTCAGCCGTGGCTTGGGCCTCTGAGGAGCTGGAGCATGGGCCTGATGGAAATGGTGACCCCAGCAGGGGTTCCCAGCTAGAACTGGTCACAGGGAGGGAGTAGATCTCTGAGGGCATGAGCACACTGAGGCCAGCAGACTGGAAAGCTGGGGAGAGAGGGTGTAGTGTGGGCCCCACTGCCCTGCTCACCCCAGTCACCACCCCACATCCTTGTGTTGTACCCACTTGCATCTTCTTCCAGGAAGCCCTCCCTGCCTGCCAGGTCTGTGTTCCAGGTCCCCCAGTCAGCATCACTTAGTGAGATCAAGGTTCATTTTAAAGCTTTTTCCCAGAAAGCCCCTGGAGAGTGGATGTGGGACATGTCTTGCTCCTAGGGGAATCTTTGAACCATCCGTGTCTATGTGGCCTAAGGCAAATTGTTTCACTTCCTGGAGGCTCAGTTTCCACACCCTTCACAAGGGGTTCTTCAGATCTGCCAGATGGGGCCAAAGTGAGGATTTGTGATGACACGGGCCTGGAGCACAGCAGGCTCTTTGTAAAGGACACCTGTGATGCATGGGTAGGGCTTCAGGAGTAGAAAGGTGACTTTCTAAGCTCCATGGAGACCCCGCTCCTGGTGCTGCTTAGGAAGCACCAAGTTGAGGGGAGGCCCCATTCACCCATGTGACCTGCCCTGGATGTTGGAAATGTGTCCAGATCCTGCCTCCAGAAGCCTAACATCTTTCCTTCCCATCGCTTTACTTTTTCTTACAGAGCCTGTCTTGATGTGCAATCTGGATACAATCCAGACCACAATAAGAGCATTTTACATGAATCAAAATGGCTATTTAGAAAAGAAAAAAAAACCCAAATTAACAAATGGTGAGGATGTGGAGAAATTGGAACCCTCATGTGCTGTCGGAAATGTAGCTGCTGTGGAAGACAGTATAGCAAATTCTTAAAAAACTAAAAGAGATTAATCAGGGGAGATTGATGCAGGAAGATAGAAAGTTCGAGGCCAGCCTGGGCAACTTAGTGACTTAAATCCTGTCTAAAAATTTTTTTAAATAAACAAAAGGGCTGGAGTTGTAGCTTGGTGGTAGAGTGCACCTGGGTTTGATTCCCCGTACTAAGGAAAAAAGATTACCATATGATTTAGCAATTCTACTTCTGAGTCTACCCAAAAGAATGAAAGTAGGAACCGAAACAAAGATCTCTGTACACCCATTTTCAGGGCAGCATTATTTACAAAAAGCCAAAATGTAGAAGCAACCCATGTTCACTGACAGATGAATGGATAAATAAAATGTGTAGACATTCGGTGGAACATTATTCATCCACAAAAGGAGGGACCGTCTGACATGAAACATGGAGGGGTCATAAAAACATTATGCTAAGTGAAGAAAGACACAAAAGGGTGAGTACTGTAGGACTCTACTCGAAGAGGTACTCAGAGAGGTCAAGTTCGTGGAAATAGAAAGCAGGAAGAAACCGAGTTTCAGTTTGGCAATAATACAAAATGTCCTGGAGATGATGGTTGTACAACAATGTGAATGTACTTAATGCCACTAAGCTACCAGCCTAAAAATAGTTAAAATAGTACATTTCCTTACCTATATTTTACCACAACCTGAAATTTTAAAAGGGAAAAGAACTGAAAAATAGAAATATCAGCTCATAGTGTCTCATGAGGGACTGAGTACCTGGTGGAGCCATAGAAGACACAGAGGCCAGGAGTCAGGGGACAAGGTTTGCATTTCCAGCAGTCCCCCAGCTGGGTGGCTGTGAGAAATTCATATGGTTATAAAATCATGCAATCCCTGAGCAAAGCGGGGGATGTCAGCTGTTGGGGCAGGTGTATGAGCTAGCAGACAGAGGGTGGGGGGAGATTCCTAGGAGGCACCGTGTCTAAGGAGATACCAGGAGACAGTTCCTGGCCAGAGCTGGCACTAAGTAAGTGTCTCCTGAGTGTGTGGGGTCCAGGATTTGAGATCATGTCCTCAGCAGTCCTGAGAACCATGGGTGAGAAGTGGTACCTCACTAAAGCCCCTGGGATGTCTGTAGTCTGGAGGAGGGAAGGGCCTCTGAAGAGGACAGGCCACATCTGGCCCGACTACCTGGGGCCACGTGCTTGGCTGCTCATGCCAGTCCCCGGGGTCCCTGGAGATGGGTCCGAGAGCAGAAGGGCTCATGGCTTCCCCTGGTCTGGGAGCTTTGCAGGTGGTCACTGGCCCCAAGTCTCCTACGGGTCTCTGTCATTACAGTCAATGTGTTGCCCCTCAGCACTCAAAATTCTGGGGAGGGGACTGTTCTCTGCTTGAAACCTCTGGAAGCCAGTGCAAAGCTGACAATTTTCAGGGAAATGGAGTGCCAGGTCTGAAAGGGAAGTTACAGGATTTTTTGTCCAGTCCCCATTCCGATGCTCAAGGGGCTGAGGTCAGCGAGGGCAAGGGACAGGCACATCCCGCACGCGCCCAATTAGGCTCTCATCTCCCAGAAGTAGCACGGCTGCCCCGCCTTCTGACACCCCCGTAATTGTACTCAAGAGATGACAAGTCCATCTGAGACCACAGCCTAGGGAGCCCCTGCCCCACCCTCTCCCCTCAGTCCTAGTCCCAACTCTGCCCCACCCACTCGAGTCTGAGCCCATCCATGAGGCCGCCTCTGCTGCCCGCACCATACCTGCCATGGGGACAGCCTGGATGTCCACCTCCTGGAGAAAGCTTCTCACCTGGGGCTGGAGCACAGCTGCCACACAAAAGGCCCCTCCTGCCAGGAGGGGTGATCAGCTGCTCCTGGTCTGGTTGTCCCCAGCACCTCAGCTCAGCTCTCAGGCGAGTCTTCAGTCTCTGCAGGATGTCTTTCCCTCCTTGATTGCCCTCTGTCCACGTCCGCTGGCTGAGGTTCTCCCACTTGAGCTGGGCACCTGGTCTTCGCGGGTGAGATCCTGGCTCTGGGATGTGCTGGACCCTTCTCCAAACCACCTTCAGACTGCAGTGTCTGAGACTGGGCTACCAGCTGGGCTAGTCCAGCTCCAGGGTGGGCCTGTGTGGGAGGGGGCAGGTGCGAAGTTTCTGACGTTGCAAACCACCCCCCTCTCCTTGTCTCCCGCCCCAGCTTCCTCCCTTTCCAGCTGAGAGCCCCCCAGCCATTGCTGATCAATGGGCTCAGGCACAGGTGGGGGTGGAGGCCCCATGTTGAGGACTGGCTGCATGTCCACAGGGGCCCAGGCCTGGCTGGCTGGAGGAGCTGGGGCTGATGAGGCCTTAGGGAGATTGAGAGGCAACGGTAGTGGCAGCAGATCAGGGCTGAATGGCCGAGGTGGTGCCCTCCCTCCAAGACCCAGACCTCTGGACTGGGCTTGCAGCGGGGCTTGCGGGTGTGATGGGGGTGGGGAGGAATGCAGGAAACACAGGGGCAGCAACAGTGATACCAGATCACAGAGCCCCCAGACCAGGTGGGAGGGAGTTCAGGCTTTTCTGAAGCTCAGCCCATGAACAAGGTGATGATGGCTGGTCCCTGGCAGTCCTTGTGCCTCAGTTTCCCTGAATAACCTCAGTGCGTAATTTCCTCTGCCTGAGGTGGTCCAGCCTAGCCTGGGGAGCGGCAAGCCTTCCCCATGTGGAGCTGGGGGCAGTGTCCTTGGGTGATGGTCTCCTGTAGTCACCACCAGGGTGTGAGTGGAGACTCTGAGTTGACCCAGGTCAGAAAGCTTAGGTGAGAATCGCTTTGTCCACTGTCCCCGTCCAACTTGCCTGAGCACCTTCTCCAGGCTGCCCCATCTATCCTGGAGCCAGGCATTTGGGAGGCAGAGAGGGTAGGGTGCCCCCTAAGCCAGTGCTGATACTTTGGTTGAGGCTGGGGTGCTATTGGACCTTGCTGGACCATCCTTGGTCAGCTCAGTCTAGGAGGGAGCATCCCAGGCCAGGCTCACCTTAATCCCTGATGCCCACACCCTTGAGACGCTGGGGCTGAGATGTCTGAAAAGGGCACCTGCAGGTGGCACCTGGTTATGATGCTCCAGGCCCTCCTAGGGCCTCAGGCTAGGCAGACCCTCTCCTCCCTGTGGCTCAGTCCCCCATTCCCCCCAGATTGCTACCTGCAGAGTTAGGAGGATCCCACAAGGAGAGAGTGGGCTGGCCCAGGGGGAAAAGAGTGGACTGCTGCCCAGACCCACACCCAGCTACCTGGAACTCTCTACAAGAGGAGCATCCCAGCAGCTCCCAGGGGCCACCCAATGAAGCGCGGCCATGCCACCTTGCAGGACTCCCAGTGTGGTGGGTGGGAAGTAGGAGAGATGATAGAGGGACTGGGGGTTCATCCCATTCTCAGTGGCTCCTTCTCAGCCCAGACATGAGGGTGGGCCAGCCTGGGTGCTCTTGGCTCCTGATACGTGTGGGTGTCTTGAGTCTGTGCAATCGGAAACATCCGCACACATGTGCGCCCCTCCCTCCTGGCCTGCCATTTCCGCCACGGGCACTTCCTGGCCCCCTGCCCCCTCATCCATCTTGCCTGCCAGCCTGTCCCTGGTGCCCCAGCATCCTTCACACCTTTTCATCTCGCTGCTCAATACCAGGAGGCGGCAGCGTAGCAGCTATGGCCGCAGGGAGATGGATGGCCAAGCGGGGAGTGCGGGCTGGAGGAGCGACACCATGAGAGGGTGGAGCTCTGGCCTCTGCATCCCTGGCTGTGAAATCGCACCTCTGCCCAGCAGGGTGTTTCTCTGCCCAGGCCTCGTCCTGGCCTGCCTAGTGTGTGGGTGCCCTGTAGGCACCTGGATGAGAACAGAGGGGTTCCTGCGCTAGCTCCTACCTCTGACGCTAGAGGAAGGCCTGCTGGAGGTGATGGGTGCAGTGTATCAGCTTCCCCATGAAGACATCCTCTGCTCCCGCCTTGGGCACCTCCTCTGGGTGCTCCAACAGCTGGACAGCTTTCTAGGTGTCCTCATCCCCAGCCCCGAGTCCCCTTGAATCACTGTGGCATGAGACCTAGTAAGCACTGGGAAGTACACATCTGGGCTGTTTACCCAGACACACAAAGCCCCTCAGAAGAGCTCTCCAGGCATCAGGGCTCCTAGAAAGATGTATGATGGGAAACTGTGTACACACCAACAGGCTCTCTGGGTAGGCACAGGCACAGATACGCACACATGCACACATGAGCACATCTCTGCCTCCCCCCACACAGACCCTTTGACCCAGCACTGTACTGCTGGAGGCCTTCTGAGTTGTGCATACCTCTGGAGGTCTCTGCTGGGACCGGGACAGTCCCCCTCTGGGTTCTCAGTACAGTATGGGATCTCCCCCCAGGCCTATCTGGACAGCTGTCTGTGGGCACAGAGACAGCCACACTGGACCCAGGACACACAGCATGTGCTCCAGACCCCATGGTTAATCCTCCCTCCCCTCATCCACTTTCCTAGCCAAAGGGGGCTAGGCATGACAGAGGACATGGACAATGGGCCCCTGATTATTTTCCATTTTATAATGGGGAACTGAGACTTGGCATTGGGTGGCCCAACAAGGAGCATGGTGCATAGGGCCCTGGGCTTAGCCCTGTGTCTCAGCACCCACTGTTCAGACGGGAAGGCTGAGGCCAGGCAGGTGTGGCTAGGTTAGTGGGGTGGGAGTGGGGGTCAGCCCCGGCAAGGCAGGTACTGAGATCATGAGCTTCTCTGACCTAATGAAGGCAATGTTCTTCTCATAGTAGGCAGCCTCGTTAATGAACAAAGGGTACATGGTGGAGTCCCCCTTGTAGAGCATGTCCTCGCCGCTGAACATCTGGAAGATGGGTGCACCAGGCTGCAGAGGTTCAAAGTCCCGGTCCTGAGAAGAAAGCCAAGGCCAAGGTAGCTGGGGCCAAGGGGCTGCACGTAGGCTGGGTGGCAGGGGCACAAGCCCAGCTAGTGGCACCCAAGAGATGCCCACTCATCACAGCCTTGCCCCCCGCTTTCATTTCCTAGATCCGTGTGACAAGGAGTCTGGTGACGTGTCAACTTGTTCTACGTCTAGAAACGGAGACATCAGACACTTGGAAAGGCAATTGTCATTGTGGAAGTGAGGCCTAATGGTTATGAGGACAGGAATTTCAGGGCTCAAAGCCTGGATTCAAATTCTTATTAGCTATGTAACCTTGGGCAAGTTATTTCACTTCTGTGTTTCTCATCCTTCTTGTCTGTAAAACAGGGATAATTTCTCCTGTCAGTCTGAGATCTAAACTAAGCAGGTTAATAATGCTCACAATGTGCTTGACACAGTACAATATTGTCAGGTGACAGATAAGAGTTATTTTTAAAATCTAGTGCTCTCACTTCATTTTCTTTTCTTTCTTTCTTTTTTGTTTTTGTTTTGGTTTTGGTTTGGTTTGGTTTTTTGAGACAGGGTCTCATTATGTAGTTGAGACTGACCTGGAACTCATTATGTAGTCCGGGCTGGTCTCAAACTCACAGTGATCCTCCTGCCCCAGCCTCCCGAGTGCCTGGATTATAGGCGTGTGCCACCATGCCTGCCTTCTTTTTTGTTTTTGAAATAGGTCTCCCTACTTACTCCAGGCTGGTCTCAACTCAGTTGCTCACTCTGGGCTCAAATTTATGATCCTCCTGTCTCAGCCTCCCAATTGCTGAGATCACAGGCACACACCTCCCACACCCAGCTATTTTCTCCTATTTCAAAAGAGTATTTTATTGAAAGCATGAGCACTGCTTCTTTGTAAACCCCTGTTCCCTTTGCAATGATTAGATCGTGATAGTGATAGTTATTATGGTTATAAATTCTACCCATTGCAAACTAATGTTATCTAAAGGTTGATGAAATTAAGATAATTGATGAATCATATCTTTTTGACATATATGAAAATTACATTTTCTTTGTGTATTATCTAAAATTTATCGGTAATACATACCATCATTTATATATTTACACAATACCGTGTATTGCAGAAATGTGCTTGTATATGTGTCATCACTTTAGCTTAGTCATATCCAAGTTTCCTGCAATTAATGTCTGCTTATAGCTAGAGTGAACTCATTAGCTTATAAATTTAGAGCTGCTAACTGCCTTGCAAGTAAAGAATGATCTCTCAGTGAAGCTTAACACTGATTTGTGATTAATCATTTTACTTAGTGATTCATCCTTGATCGCAGTACAACAAAAATGTCATGCTTGCTTAGTAGTATTAACTCCATTTATCTCATGTGCATTCATAAAATTGCCTTGTCATCTATATGTCTAAATAATACACTTATTAAAAGACCCCTCCCCCCAAATACTGTCAAGTGCCACTTAATGATGGGGTTGGTTCTAAGAAATGTGCTGCTAGATGAGTTTGTCATTGTGGAAACATCACAGAGTGCACTTACATAAACTGAGATGCTATACTATCACTGAAATGTTATCCAAATGACTGCTTAGTGTTCTGTTTCTTGCAGTATTGGAAACTGAACCCAGGGCTTTCTCACTAAGCTACATCCACAGACTTTTAAAAATACTTCTTTCTTTCTTTCTCTTTCTTTCTTTTTTTTTTTTTTTTTCCAGCAGGGATCGAATTTGGGACCTTACACTTGCGAGGCAGGTAGCAGCACCACTGATCTAAATCCCTGGCCCTCTTTTTAAAATTTTGAGACGGATTTTCTTTTTTTCTTTTTTTTTTTTTTTTTTTTTTTTTTTTCCAGCAGGGATCGAATTTGGGACCTTACACTTGCGAGGCAGGTAGCAGCACCACTGATCTAAATCCCTGGCCCTCTTTTTAAAATTTTGAGACGGAATTTCTCTAAGTGGCCCAAGCTGTCTTTGAACTTTTGATCCTCCTGACCCCACCATACCTGGCTACATGATTGTACTTTTTAAAGTAAATGACCTAGGCTGGGGATTTAGCTCAGTGATGCTGCTGCCTGCCTCGTAAGTACAAGGTCCTGAGTTCAATCCCCAGTACCACACACACACACACACACACACACACAAAAGTAAATGACCTAAAGTGACCGCTAACATCTGCAAAGTCGATGGGTAGGGCTGGCTTAAGACCCTCCACCCACAAACACTGAATGGATGGTGTCCCTATCCTGGAATGTTATTCCAAGTAAGAGAACACCTCAAAATAAAACTTGCAAGGAATAGAGGCCCTGGAACTGCACAAGACTGTGTTTAACAGGGACCTTGGTGTGGCACCAAACAGAGTAGCAGCTGGCAGCTGCCAGGTCTCAGCCATTGACCTTCTGCTCCACATCTTCTTCCTCCCCTGTTGCCGGAAGTTGAACAGCCAAGGGGGCTGTGAGGTTTGCTGTGGACCCCAGGGCTGGGCCAGAGTATGCGGGTCCCAGGAACGACAAGAAAGGGTCTGGAGCCTGCACCCTGTTCTGCTCTGGTTTCTGAGAACCAAGGACCCTCCCTCGGCCTGCTTTCCCAAGGGGTGGCACCAGAACTTCACACCCACGAACCTGGAGCTGGGGATGCACCATGCCAGCCAGGTCTCCGTCCTCCGTGTGTGGAAAATCCTCGCAGCCCAAGTATCTGTAGACTTCCATCTCAAAGGCCGGAAAGGCTGCGCCTGTGTGGGAGGCCAAGGTGACAGCCCTTACCTCCCTGGGAGCCAGCCCTCACCGCTGGACCGCAGTTTCCCTGCTTCAGACTCTCACCCTGATTGAAGAGCTCGATGAAGTCCAGAGAAGAGGACACCAGGGACCTCATCCGGGAGAAGAGGTCGGCCCGCAGCACGCCCTGAGGCTGGGGGCCCAACTCCAAGCCTGTGAGAGGAGAGAGGTCGGGGAGGCTTCCCAGGGGTTTGGAAGCCTCAGGTTGAGGCCCCACCTCTGGGAGGCTCCGCCCCCTCGCCCCAACCACATTTCCAGGCCCTCGGCCCCACCTCCTGGACCATGGCCCTGCCCCTTTCACCCCGCCCCCGCCCACTTCCCCAGAGGCCTTTGCTCACTCATTCCGTGTTTGGTCACAGAGTCCAGGCTGTATGTTTCCTCCTTGGGCAGCCGGTACACTAGGACCCGGGTGGGCAGCTCGGGGTTCTTCAGCTGGAGACGGAAGGGGCAAATCAGGAACCCAGGCCTTGGGGGAGAAAACTGAGGCAGAGCAGAGAAGCATCAAGGAAGCTCTGGGTACTACCCTTTCTGACCCAGCCAAAGGCCTGGAGTACCTGCAGGTAGCGGTCCTGGGGCTGGTCCCAAGGGGAAATTAGGCCAGGAAAAGGAGCCAATGTGGCCTGGGCTACGTCCCTTTTACCCCCTTCCCCACCTGCCCTCTTTCTGCCTCGTGAAAGGCTGGAGTCACCTGTAGGTGGTGGCACAAGTGCATGGCAAAGATGTCTGTGGCATTCGAGATGAAGCAGGTGCCCATGTTGGCTGTGGTGTTGTGCAGATCGAGGAGAAAGTCGAAGGCCTGGCTGGAGTTTTTGGGCCCCAGTAGCTGGTTCAACTCACGGGCTCTTGTCACCTCGTATGGCTCATCTGGGGTGGCCCTGGAACTGTGGGGCAGGAGCGGGGATATTGCCCAGTAGCTTCAATCAGTCTGCAGTAGCTCGACTGGGGAAGGAACAGCCTCGTGCAGCTGGCAGGAGACACTTAGCTCAGCCCAGGGGCTCTTCCTGTGTGGCTGTGCCCTCCTGGGTTCCCCACCTCCCCATGAAGTACCAGCCCGCCACCCTCCCTTCACCCTCAGTTTGCTCTCTTGCCGGCCACTCCTCCCAAGCACCATACTGGTCACAATGCCAGGCCTTTGCCTGTGCTGCCACCTCTGCTGGGAACTCCTTCTCTCTTGTCCTCACCTGGCTAAACTTCTCTCCTTTTGGGGCTTGGCTGAGACACCACCTCCTCCAGAAAGTCTTCCCTGGTTACTGTTGGCCCCACTACATGCTCTAGGTAGCTCCCGCACCCGCACGCTTAGCCTCCTGCGCTGTGATTGCTGAGCTCTTCCTGTGTCCCCCAAGCTGGGGCCAACACCTTGGTGCTGTTCCCCATTGTCTCACACACTGGCCGGGCCTGGCTGGAGGTGGGGCCCTGAGTACCCCCTAAAGGAGGCACGGGCAGGGACACAAGGCTGATAAACACAGCCTGTGAGGCTGATCTGAAGGCACCTTAGGGTCTGGGAAACCCAGAGGGGTCTTGACTCAGCCTGCAGTCAGGGAGGACATCCTAGAGGAGGTGACATTGATCTGGACTTCTCTAAAGTAAAAAGGGAGGACCAGGAATTACGGGCTGCCCCACTGGCAGCTGGAGTAGTAGCACTCACGTCAGGAAGGTGTTGGTGAAGGTGCGATTGAGGTCACGGCCTATGTAGCGGCGACAGAGGGCTGTGGCTGCTGGGTTGGCCAACACAGGCACAGTAGAGAAGCTGGGTCTCTGCAGGTCTGCTGGGGTCCGCAGCCAGTGCCGGGCCAGGTAGACACCAGACATCTCGTTGCCATGGGTGCCCCCAGTCACAACCACACGGCGCAGGGGCTCCTGGGGCACAGGCAGCGAGCACATCCCCGTGTTAAGTGGGACACCTGGTGGGTGGGCAGACATAGGAGACCCGGGCACAGATGCAGGGCTTAGTGCCCAGAGTTGGGTCGGTGAGCTCTCCAGGGCCTGAGGAGTCCAAGCTGGGCAGGGTGGCTGTTTGTCCAGAGGTATGGCTGGCTTCAGCTATGTACCATCTGCACCCCAGAGGCCCATCTCAAGGGCACCCCCAGCCTAAAATGTGTCCTGACTGTTTCTTGAAGTCCCTTCTTTGGAGCCTTCCTTGAGGGTGGGCATTGCCCTTCCTTTCTTCCACTGGGAGACAGCTTTCTATTCCCTTTGGAGAGAAGCCCAGAGGGGCCCTGACATTCGGCGACATGGATGTGAACTGGCCATGACACACCTCCTACAAAGGAGAACTGTGCTCATTTTAGAGCCCATTTAGGTGGGACAGTCGAAGCCTGTAGGGAGTGGAGTGGGCCACAGCAGTTAGCTCTCATGTCTGGGTTCCAGGTGACCCCTGCACTCTCCAGCCACTCCTTGTGCTCCCCTGAGCTGGCACAGGGGCCTTTGGGAGGAGGCTCCTTACCTGCCAGTGAGAATCTGGGCTTCCCCGGGTCACCAGGGCTGGAGTGTTGCCCCTGGACAGGCAGTATTTATGTGCCCAAGATCACCAGGCCGGAAGTATTTATGCTGAGCTGGAGGACTGCAGCGGGTGGGTGGCATAGGCTGAGGTCCATGTGACCAAAGGTCGCAGTTCTGAGGGTCCCCCCCCCAAGCTCCACCCCATGTGCCACAGCCTGATGGGTTCAGATCCCACAGACAGATTCCTGTCCTTGCCCTCTGTTCTTCCTCCGGGAATAGGGACAGCCCCGCCTCCAAGGGCCACCCAGAACTCCTGCTGGGAGCTTCAGATGGCCTTTGAGAATTACTTGCCAGGATTCTTTAAGACCAGGACAACAACCTTCCTAGGAGGTTCTAGCTTTTCTGACTGCCAGATCAGAGGCCACTGCATAGTGCGCAGGCAAGGGTGACAGCTGGGGTCTGGCCCAGGTGTCGCTGACTGTTCAGCTACGTCCTCCCGGAGAGGCGCCTTCCCTAAGGCTACTGAAAGGTAGGTCAGCTGTAGGGCAGTGACTTGGTTTTGGCCACCAGACCAAGCCATAAAAGTTCCTATCCAAGGATGGGCCTGGTTAGCCACCCAGATGAGGAGTCTCCCTCCCCCACCAGCTTCCAAAAGGCTGGGGTCACCCTCACCCTAAAGGCTGTGCCCTGTGGGCTATGAGTTTTATGGTTCTTTGATACTTTAAAAAAAACTTTATATGCCTGTAAGCCCAGCACTCAAGAGATCAAGGCAAGTTGGAGGATGGCAAGTTCAAGTTCGAAGTGAACCTGAGCTACATAACAAGTTCAAGTCCAGCCTGGACTGCAAAGCAAGACCCTTCCTCAAAACAAAAACTTCAAAATATTTCACCCAGTATTTTGAGTCATTTTCAGGGAGAGTATAGCTGAAATGACTCCATTTTTCTGTTTTAGGAAATGAGCCACAGTCCTATGTTACAGATGTGGAAGTTGAGGCTCAGACTAAATGCACACAGGCACAGCACACTGGAGGCAGGGTGGGATTGGAAGCCAACATGTCCAGTCAGATCCCATCCTCTCCCTGCTGGCTCTCAAGTGGGGAGGAGGAAAGGACCAAAGAAAAGTCCCCTACACCCAGCCCGTATGCCTCTCCCTCCCACATGATTTGGCTCTCCACAGTAACCAAAGGGTCCAAAGGTCACTGGGCAAAAGGCAGGGCCATGTCCAGCCTGGTTACCCATTGCTTCCTGTATCCAGGCACTGGAGCCTAAGATTGAGGCTTCTCTAGGCATTGGGTCCCAGGCCTGCTTCACCTCCAACTTGGGCCTGCACTAGAGACAGGCCAGCAGCCAGCCCAGGGTTCTGTACACCTCTGGCAGCACTCAGATCTCTGTGTGGCCCGTGCTTACCCTTTGCTCTCTGCCCTGCACTGCAGGCTCCCTAAACTCAGCTTGGGGATTGTGAGGCCTGTGATTGTCCTTGCTCCACCAGGGCAGCTGCACCTTGCTAGGGTTCCCAAGAGGGGGTGGAAACCTCCCTGAAGAGCCCTTGAGGGTCACTGCGTCAGCAGCAGCAGCCCTGCGGGCAGCCTGCTAAGGCTGCAAGAGATAGAATGACTTGGTAGAGACATTGCCAAGCGGTGGTGGAGTGAGTGAGTCAGTAGATGAGCCTGCTGCCCCCTGCCAGCTCCTTCTCTGCTCGGGGCAGGGGCCTCCAGCCGTGCTACTTGAATCTGAAGCCTTGGTCTTTGTCCTGACGGCCCACCCAGACTGCTGAGATCCTGCTGACTCATTTGGGGCCTCTGGGGAAAGAACAGCCTACCTGGTACACTTAGCTATTTTGGAGATTGCTGGGGACCACTGGTGTTTCCTGCCACCAAGTGCTGGACACCCACCGCCAAACCTGCCGCCAACTCTAAGGAGGGCAGCGGTGCTGGAAGGTTTCACAGTCCTTGGCCAGAGTGTTGCTTCTTCTCCATTTCAATGGGTGTTTGTAGGATGGTTCTAACTCGCCCAGCCCTAACCAGCTCAGTGCCCTCTCTGGGCCCCAGCTCCTGCCTGGGAAACAGGTGAGGTTCTCCTAGCCTAGGCAGCAGTAAAGAGTGGTAAGCAAGGGGCAGGCAGAATATCCTGGGATGGGTGCAGACTCAGGCCAGTGACACCTTGGATATCAGTGGGTCCAATATCTTCACTCCAGTTAGAGAAACAGGCTCAGAAAGGGGTCAGAACTTCAGCCAACACCACATTTGTAGAGCTTGACCTTTGTAGCCTAGGAGCTGCTCCCGAGGGTCACTGGCTCATTGGCTTTGGACCCCACTCTCCACCATCCACCCTGTGTATCAAGTTCTGACTCTGGGCTTGGTCCCTTCTCGCTGCCTCTTCCCAGCCTTTCTCTCCACATCACCAAAGGTGCTGTCTTCATCCAGGTCCCTGCAGCCTCACCCTGTGTCTCTGGTCTACTATATACTCCAGCCTTCTGGATATCCCATCAGAGAAGTGACACTGGCGTCCTGCTCCACTAGCTTCTCTGGGCTACCTCTAACTGTGGACCAGGCAAGAGTCTGGGTCCTCCATCCACCCCATCTGCAGTGCTTCCCATCTACCTGCTGGGGGCTCCCAAGTTCACATCCGCGCAGCCAGCCATTCACCAGGCCTCCTCTTCCTGAGGGCAGCTCACACCAAGTTCCAAAGCTAGCTCTGAGAGGCAGGGGAACACAGTGCCGTGGGGCCTGCCCTGCAGGGCCTTGTGGCCCTTGCCAAGTGCTTGGTCCTGAGGAACCACTTATTGAAAGTTTGGGGCTTTCTCCAGGGGTGCTTTGCGCTTGTGTGGAATCCAATCCCAGGCAGGCAGCCAGGAGGTGACGGGCAGGGAAAATAGTGATGGCTCTGCCTCTGCTGAGTCGTGGCCTGATTCAGGAGATGCCTCCTACACAGGCAGGGTAAAAGGGACAGAACAGGCTGATGATTTGGCATGTGGGGGCTGGGGTAGTGGGAAGGTTCTAGGAAGGTGGGCTGGCCGGCACAGAGGCAAGGACGGAGAGAGAGGGGCCTGCTTGAGGGATCCACTGGGAGTAGAATTCTGAGCATGCCGAGTTGGAGACACGCAGACACAAGGCCTGCCCTGATGCTTCGACCGTCAGTCTGATTCTTGGGGCTGGGGCCTGGCTTTGAGGCCACCCAAGTGGGGATGCTCAGCCCCCTTTCAGAGGGCTTGTGGCCTGGTTGGGAAGGAGTGTGGGCAGGAGGCAGCAAAGACAAGCTGGCAGCATCTCTCCCTCCTTCCCCAACACCCCACACCCCATTCATTCATTCATTCATTCATTCATAGGCAACCCCATAGGAATCAGCGTTGTGGTACTGGGGACACCCTAGCAAGCTAGGCCCTATTTCTGCCCTCATGGATCTCACTGTCCAATAAAGAGTCTTAATGGGGTGTGGAGGGCCCAGGCTTCAGTCCACAGCACTCTGGCAGGAGCAGTGTCTCTCTGGGTCCTTGGGAACACGCTGAAAACCCTTCGGGGTCCACCTGCAGGTCTGGCAGGAATGGTCCAGGGGTCAACTGCTATGCGCTCATCCCCACCCCCATGTTTCCCAGTAAGTCTCAGCTCTGTCCTGCTTTCTTGTGTGAACTCAACCCACCCTGTCCTGCCTTTAGACATATGTCAGATGAAGTCATCAGTGTTAGAGTTTACCAGTTCAGGCCACCTTCTGGGAGCTGAGAGCAGGGAGGACAGACTGGGCACTGTGTGCACATTCGCCTGCCTGTGCCCACTGTAGATGTCGTGACTGAGCCCAGAACTCCCTCCCCTTGTGCCCCCCCCAGCATCAGAATGTTTGTCAATGACCCGCTCCAGGTAGATTCCACCAATCGGCCAGCAGATTTCAGATCAGATGACGTCAGTCAGGTATACCCATCCCCTAGGCGTGCATGGAACTGCTAGTTCTGCCTGTAGGAATTCCATTTATACATCTATTTATAAAGTCTTCTCTAGCTACAGAATCTTCCAAACTCTGGGACACAAGGGTTTCCCATCACAGACCTATCTAAGCAGAGGGACAGGAGGCTACAGAGGAGACTGAGGTGTAGAAAGGGACTGGACCAGCCACCAGAGGTCCTGCTTAGCTGGAGAACTGTTCAGAAAAAGCCCCAAGAGTGGGATCTTCATGGTCAGGGCTGGACATATTCCTTTCAAGGACCATTGAGAATGTGGGCAGCAGATGGCAGCTCAGGGCAGGTCATGGGGTGCTGGGCTGCCACCAGCAGCAGATGTCAGGTATCCATGGTGGGTGCTGGAGATGGGCGGGCACTCACTGAAGGGTGCAGCTGTGGGAGCTCATGGCCCACCTCAGCAGCTTCTGGGCCTGGGAACTATATGGCGGGTATCGGATCTCATTGAGCTTCTCCAGGCCCGAGGGAGAGATCAGGCAGGCGCGGTGGTTGGAGAAGGTGTCGAAGGAGAACTTGCCATGGTATCTGCCCATTCCACTTTTGCCTGTATGGGCACGGGAAATGAGGATCTGAGGCCAGGACTCTGTCCAGCTCCGACACCAGCCCCAGCAGCAGCCCACAGTTGGCAGTGAGCTTAAGGATCCAGGAAATTCTACAAAGCATTTTATAGATAGGGAAACCAAGGCTTTGAGAGGCCCAAAGTCAAATAGTGAGTAAAAAGACTTGGAGATGTGAGCCAAGCCTCCCAGGGGGGCTGGGGGCAGCTGGACAGTAAGAGTGGGCAGGGACTCACCAACTCCTCCAAATGGCAGGGATAGCAGAGTTGCATACAGGAAGCCGTCATTGCCTCTGAAATTGCCGCTGCTGGTCTGGTCCAGTACCTGGTTCACTACCTGGGGAAATGGGGGAGGACATGGAAGGGATTTCTTGTCACTGGGGAGGAAGGCTGGAGACTTGACCATCCCACAGGGAGCAGATAGGCCACCACATCTCCTGAGCTTCTTCCAGGTAACCACTGAGCAATCCCCTCCCATCGAAGCACCGTGGAAGGGATGATACCTTCTCAGGGAGGGTTTGATGTGGTGTGGTTACTACAAACAGAATACAGGGTCAGGGATTTAGCTCAGTGTTTCCAGCGCCTGCCTTGCAAGTGCAAGGGCCCAAGCTCGATCCCTGGTACCAAAAATAAAAAAAGGAGGCAAACAGGATGCAAGCACTGAGGAAGCCCTGAAACATCAAGGGGAACCTGTGACTATGAGGTCTGGCAGTATGATTGGGACATTGTAGAAAAGTAAATAGGCCCCACTGGGACCAACTTGTGGGGCCCCAGCTTTGGGCCAGCCCCCAACCCCATTTGTAGTCTCTGTTCACCATGGAGAATCTTTGCATGGTACAGGAAAAGGAGGGTCCCTAGAGCACCTCTTCCTGCAGAGGGAGCCCACCTAGGCCACCAGCTGGCCACCCTGCCCAAAGCCCTCTGCTGGGCAACCTTGTGCAGGACAGAGTGGTATTAGACATCCAGGATCACAGTCACCCTTGAGGTGACTGCTGTCCTAAAGCCCTTCCCCCCACAGAGGGCTGTGAAAGAGGATCTGGCCAGTTTGTCACCTGAGGCCCGCTGGGCCCCACCTGGCTGTTGTTAGAGAAGGCGTACAGGGCCAGTGGCTTCTCCCGATGGTTGATGAAGTTGATGGCCTCGTCCAGGCTCTTCACAGTCATCAGGGGCAGGATGGGCCCAAAGATTTCCTCCTGCATCACCTTATCTGTCTCCTGCACGTCCACCAGCACTGTGGGTGCTGTGGACACAGGGGCAGCTCAGCCTGGTGCACAGCTGGGACACTCCTTAGGGAGGAGCCAGAGAGCCCCAGGGTCTGACCTCCCAGGACACCAGCTCCTAGGATCTGAGGATCTGGGGTCCAAGTCCTGCCCTTGAGGAAGAGCATATGAGGTGACAGTCCACACTCTGGGCCCCCAGAGTTGAGGTCCGAGCTCAGCAGATCCAGAGCTGTGGGGCCAGATTTTAGAATCAGAGTCACAAGCTCAGAACCACAGTGGGCTGGAGCATTCATGTTCTGGAACCATGAGACTGGGACTACGGACTCAGGCCAGGCTCTAGCAGCAGAAAGGGTCCTAGGTAGGTGGGCTGCGGTGGGAGAGAGGGGTGCTCACCGATATAGAGATTGCTCTCGTCACTCTGTCCTCCGATGGCCACGCGGCCACAGTTCAGCAGTTCCTGGAGCCGCTTGAAATGTTTCTGGTTGATGACGCGGCCCAGGTTGGGGGAGTTCTGGGGGTCATCGCCATAGAAACGGGTGATAGCGTTCTGTAAAGCAGGAAGCAGCCGCTCCTGCATGTCTGGGCTGCACAGGACGTAAAGGCGCCACATCGGCCCAGGTTGGGGGAGTTCTGGGGGTCATCGCCATAGAAACGGGTGATAGCGTTCTGTAAAGCAGGAAGCAGCCGCTCCTGCATGTCTGGGCTGCACAGGACGTAATCAGGCGCCACACAGGTCTGGCCGGTGTTGAAGTAGCGGAACCAAGCCAGGCGGTTGGCCACAGTCTGGGGGTCACAGTTGTCATCCACATAGCAGGGGTTCTTGCCCCCCAGCTCCAGAGTGATGGGCGTCAGGTGCTTGGCAGCAGCAGTCATGACAATCTTGCCTACATGAGGGCTCCCTGGAGATGTGGTCAGAAGACCCTATCCTCAACTGACTAGATCAGTGATGGCGAACCTATGGCACACAGCCTGCAGAGGGCTGTTTGTATCACAGAGAACTCTAAAAGCTTCACCATCCCTGGGCTGGATGATCCAGGCACATGACTCTTGCCCCTCTCTTTCCACAGAGGCTCCTCATGGCCTACCTCCTGGCCTGCACCACCCACTGGATGTCTTCAGCCCAGCCATCTCTGGATCCAATCTCTCCAGCTGGCTGCTGACTTCTGGGACATCTCCAACTCTTGACTTGTTCCTTACCCCCTGACTACTCCTTCCGCTTTCTTCCCACCCTTGTCCTATGCTGTCCCCTGCTCAGGACCTTGGCCAGTGCCATCCTCACCTGTGAAGAAGATGTAGTCAAATTTGTGCTCCAGCAGCTTCTGGGTCTCCTGAGACCCACCCACCACCACAGCAAAGCAGCTCTGCAAGATGTACAGGTAGCTCAGGAGGCAGGTCCAGGGCACAGGAATGTCTTGGCCAGCAGGGGCAGGGGTATAGGGATGTCGGGTGTTGAAAGGGCAGGGCACCCTCACCTGGTCCAGGTACTGGGGCAACACCTCAGCCAGCACCTTCTCTGTGCCCTTGCTTTTTTCTGATGGCTTCAGTATCACACAGTTCCCTACAGGGGCAATGGGGCAGTAGTGGGAGAGGCAGGTGTTCCCATATTCTCCGGAGGCTGCACTCAGAGAGCACTGAAACTTTAAGACCCTGGAGTCCTCTTTGGGCTATTGGGCTGGGAGGGCATAGGGCCCAGGACCCTCTCCTTACCTGCTGCAATGGCCCCCACCAGGGGCACCAGGGTCAGGTTTACAGGGTAGTTCCAGGGGCTGATGATGAGCACCAGGCCGAAGGGCTCCTTCAGGGTGAAGGCGCAGTCTAGCTTTGTGAGCTGGAGTGCAGGAAGGACTGTGAGACCCTGCCAAGGACTACCCCAAGCCCCACCTCACCCTACACTTGGGTCCTTGGTTCCCTAGGTGATAGAATCCCTGGAGAAAAGACTGATTCTCCCTGGTGTCAGGGACAGGAAAGGGCCTGGGCTAAGTCAGCCCAGTCCGCCCCCTCCTACTACTACCTGGCTAGTGGGGCTCACCAAGTTTGTGCTTGCTGGTTCATCCTTCATCCAGGCCTGCAGGTTCTTGACAGCCAGATCCACCTCATTCTGGCATAGAATAAGCTCAGATAAGTCTGACTCCAAGGGTGACTGTGGGGAAGGTGGAACGGGAGGTCAGGCTCGTGGCTGGCCAGACGTCCAGTGTGTGCAGATGGCACCAAAGGTTCTTATAGGCAGCACAGTGGTCCCATGGGAAATGTGCAGGGTTGGGAGCCTGGACTCTGGCTGCCTGGGCTTGGGCAAGTGAGTTAGCACTGAGTACATTGGTTTCCCGAGTGCTTGTAACCTGGGAACAGCAGTCAAGCGGGGTGGCCATGCATGCTCCTGAGTTCATGTTGCAATGTGCCTGTGACACACTACCTGGTAGAGAAGGGTCTGTTAAAAAAATAGAAATAGGACCGAGGATTTAGCTCAGTGGCACCACACCTGCCTTGTAAGTGCAAGGTCTTGAGTTCCATCCCCCATACTGGGTTGAATAAAAAACACAAAAGCAGAAATAAATTTGGACATACAGCCAGTCATGTCAAGGCACAAACACCCTCATTAGGGGGACAGAGATGTTATGGAGGGTGTCACCCTGGCTTAGACATTACACAGCAGGGTGAGGGATTTAGCTCAGTAGCACTATGCCTGCCTCACAAGTGCAAGGTCCTGAGTTCAATCCCCAGTACTGGGGTGGGGAGGAAAGGACACAGCAGCTCCTGTCTGGACACACAGCCCCCAACCTCAGTCACCTTCTGCAGGTCCTCGACCAGTGCATTGTGTAGCAGCTGCTTCTTTTCCTGCAGGAAGCGGCCCAGGCCCTCCAGCTGTGCCACCCGAAATGCAGCTGGCCGTGTTTGCCCGGAGTTGAAGGCCCCCGCAGCCGCCGCACTGTGTTCTCAAAGGGGTCTGTCCTGCTGGACAGGTGGCAGGAGTTGGGTGGTTGGGGCTACCCTCACTTTTGGGGACACCATTCACCCACCCCATGGTCCGCAGCAGCCCCACCCCCAGCAACGTCATTTGGCTCCCAGACCTTCCCCTTCGGCCTGGATGTCACTCTGGCATAGAGGAGGACACGGCACACAGAAAGTGTCAGGGAGGATGTGTCTGCCAAGAAGGTGCACCTCCCGGCTTGGGCTGGAAGGCATCCCGGCCAGTGCCTTTCCCTCGGCCATCCTGGGAGGGGCCCCATCCAGATCTCTGCCTATGAAGGACCAGGAGCCTTCATGGGCTTGAGTGTCTCCGGAGCCTGGGGTGAGCTGAGGACCCTAGAGGTCCTGGTGTCTGACCCAGAACCCCATCCCTAGTGAGGTCACCTTCACCAGCTGAGGCAGGTAATACCGCTGTGTCCTCACTATACACACCTGGTGCTTGCTAAAATAACTGAGGTGCCAGAAGATTCTGCTTGACAGACAGACAGGGACTGAGGACCCTAAAATCTCCATTGGCTGGGGATGGACAGCAGTTCCTGCCTCAGCCCCACAGCAGGGAAGAAGCACCCAGGGTTTCCTAGGGCAGGGGCCATCCCAGACTCTACCAGCACTCAACGAACATTAATGGTGTCCTTCACTGCTTAATAAGATGCATGCTGGGAGAGGCATTATGAGGCAGCTTTGTCCTTGCACCAGCAGCACAGCATAGGCTCACACATTGGGAGTGACACAGGTTCTGCACACCCAGCTGTGTTCTAATCTTAGGGGCCCACAGCTAAACGCAGTTGGAACCTCAATTATATCATGGTACACAACTGTAATTACAGGCAGGTTCAGTGTCCCGCAGGTTCCTTGCAGAGCCTGGCCAGAGACCCAGCAGCCGTTAGGACTACATTAGAGGGGCAAGGAAGGGATTCAGGATGTAGGGCCAGTACAGGCAAATGCCCCTTGGGGCCAATTTTGAGAAAGTAGATGCAACTGGGCTGATGGACAGCCCAGAGGAGCCAGGAGTTTCCTCCCGGGAAGGAGTACAGCTTAGAACAAAGGCTGGAAGGCAAGCAGCCATTTGGAGCTGAGATTTTTTTGTTTTGGGGGAGGTTGGCAAGCACTGAAACCTTACAGGATGAGAAAAACCTCGGCTCCCAGAGGCCACCTGATTGGCCTTCCTCACTGCTGCCGTGATGAGCTCAGTGCTGGTCTGTGTGCCCCCTCACAGAACTCTCCCTCCACCAACACTGGGACGTGTGCCGATCAAGGTGTGCTCTGATCTTTAAGGTCTTTCTGTCTCTTCTAAGTTTTCTGCAGTGAGCATGTAATTCTTCCAGAACCAGCAATTAGCAGGGAATATAGCTTTTGGAAACTGAAATCAAAGACTCAGTTCCTGCCTCCCGATTCCCCATTCCCAGATACACACTGATCACAGCCCTGGTGACCCAGGTGACAGCCTGGTCCCCTTCTTCCCACATGGCGGCCTCCTGGGGAGGGGGCTTCTCCAGGAAGGGCAGGGGTCTGGATGCTGGGTGCTCCCCCAGGGCCTGTCTGTCATGGGGAAGTGATACCCAGAAAGGCACATAGTGCAGTTAGGGAAGAACCAGGCTGCCCCTCTCTGTTCTGCGCCCCCACATCCAACCTGTCACCCTTCAGCCCCAGGCCCCTTCCCGATCTTGCCCCCAGGACCCCTGGCCATGTCCCACATTCCATTTCCCCAGCCTCCAGCCCCAATCTGGGCCTTTTGCCCTAAGACCCTTCTGCCCCTGGTCCTTGCCCTTGCAGCCCCACATACCCCAGTGTAGACTCCAAGCCTGCTCCCTTGGTCACATCCTTGTTCGACATTTTGCCTCCAGATGCTCAGCTCTGCTCCCAGCCTCTGCCTCTGCCGAACTTCTACTCCTCCTGGGAACCTGCCCCACCAGACTCTCGGCCCACGCCTGGCAGAGGAATTCCCCACACCTACCCTCTGCCGTGCTCAGAGCTGCCTTGTCCTCACAGCTTCCTTGACACAGCTGGCAGGGAAGCAGGTAGGGTAGGCTGGGCGAGGCTGCTCTGAGTGTCTGCTAGGAGAGTGGCAGGGAGAAGAAAAATATCCCAGAGGGTAGTGCCTCCCCAGGAAGTCCTCATAGGCCCCTGTACTAAATCCTCTACTCCTCATCCCTACCTTCAGGGTGTTCAGGTCCAGATTAGGGCCTGTGACCAAAAGAAAGGATGACAGAGGAGAGGGAGCCTCCATGGAAGAGAGCTCACTCCAGAGTCAAGAGTCATTCAGTTCATTGATTCTCCTGCTCACTGTGTGACCTCTGGGAAGTTCCTTAAACTCTCTGAACCCCTCTAAGGCACAGGAGGCATGGAATTGTCCTGGTTACTAGGCGGATCACATGGACAGATCGCAGCTCCTGAGACTAAATCAGTGCCACTCGAGGTTGGCTGCTAATGTTCCGAGGTCCTGGGAGGCAGAAGACCCCCACCCTGCTGTCAACTCCGCAGTAGTCTGATGCTGTCCCCACCCCTGCCTGAGCCAGACACTGTGAACACCCCAAGCTGAGGTCCCTACAGAGGATTTCTTGGCAGTGTCCCAGCACCAGCTGGCAGGGCTTCTGAGATAAACCTTGGGTGTGGTTGGAGCTGTGCCAGTAGGAGCCACAGACTGCTACAGATCTTTCACCCTGAATCTTTGGTAATTTCAGATGTAAATGCTGATGTGACCCCAGGAAAGGAACATGGGGACAGGGGGATATGATGGTGCTGGCAAGACCCATTTAAGAGTAGCAGACAGGATACAGCCACTAAGGAGGCCTATGTGCCCACACTGGGGAGCTGACGCTCTCTGCAGACAGGATGCATGGTACATAAATTCTATCTTAATAAAGCTATGCTTTAAAGGACACTAAATTGAAAGAAAACCTACATAGCCTATAAATCAATTGAAATATGCACAACCCCAATAGCAATTTGTAAGATGTAAAATGAATTCACTATAAGATTCCTGACTAAAAATAAAAAAAAGATTCCTGACTATAACCTTTGTATTAGTTTCCTGTGGTTGCTGTAACAAATTATTAAAAAGGGGTGGCTGAAAACAACTAGAATTTACTCTCACAATTCTAAAGACAGAAGTCCAAAATCAAGGCATGGACAGGACTATGCTCCTTCTGAAGGCTCCAGGCCAGGGGCCTTCCTGCCTTTTCCAACTAAGGGGGCTCCTAAGGGGGCCACCCTTGGCTTGTGGCCACATCTCTCCAACTCCTGGCTCTGTCTTCTCAGGGACACATTAAATCTGTCTCAACCTAATAAGAACACTTAGACTGGAAGAGAGAGCCACCTAGATACTCCAGTGTAATCTCCCTATCCCATGCTCTTCAAATTAATTGCACTTGCAAGGACTCTTTTTCTAAACAAGGTCATGTTCTCATATTCCAAGTGTAGGAGGTGATCTTATCTTTGTGAGTTATTATCAGTATACCACAGAAAACAAAAGCCACTCGCTCTGCCACTGCTAGGAAATATTGGACCATGATGTCCAGAAAAATGTATGCACAAGTCAACAAATGTTTGCTAAGCATCAAGTGGCACTAGTCCCTACTGCAGAGTGTCCAGCCCATAGAGGAGGCAGCTCGAAACTAGCCACCTGCTATGCAAGGTGGTTACCACGATGGAGCTAGAGCCGCTGAGGAAGAGGCAGCTGAGCTGGCTCCTGCCAATGAAGGTGGATCAAATACCTGCAAGTGGGGCGAGAGTGTTCATTCCAGCAGAAAAGAAGTGGAGGCAAATTGTGAAGCAGGAGGCAGTTACTGGGGCTGCCCTGTCCGAGCCAGGAAAGGAAAGGGACAGCCCAGGAATACCCTGACAGTAGGGTGAAGTGTTAAGATTTGACCCCAAGAGCAGCGAGAAGCCATGGGGTGGTTTTAAGTACATGGCATTGTTCCCAATCTGTGTTTTCTTGTGCCCTCCACCATGAGACTCAGACAGAATTGCCTCAGCACGGGAACAAGGCCTTTGATTCTTATGCTCAAGTGCAACAGGAAAAGCCACAGGGGGCAGGAGCCACGAAGAACAAACCTGTAGTTTTTGTGACATCTTTGGGGTAGGGAGGGACCCCGTCTCTTGATGTCATCA